CTTTGCTTCGTGAGTGCCGTCTGGACCTCCTCGCAACGAGCCGCTGTCTGCTGTCTGCAAGCGAACTGTCTCATAATCCATGCTGCTCCCATCCGCCGAATGCTCCGTCAGAGAAGCAGATCGTCCAGTAAGTGTGGCGTGCCGATCTTTTCAGCACGACGCGCCGACGCGCCTTATGTTCCCATTCGGTCATAAATCAGCGCTATGTTCAGCATGATGCTGACGCGCCGTTACAGCTTTTACGATGACAGCAGCAACACTGACTTCTCAGCCTGCCGCTGATGGGCCAGAAAACGGCACCCCAAAGACGGAGCGCGGTCGAATTCTGCATTCCTCATCGCTACGGGTGGTCACCAGCATGGAAGGCACTAGCTCGGGTCTCGAAAGGTGGTCGGGGACATTCTAGGGAGCTCCTGGTTGCACCCAGGAGGCCAGCCTAGGGAGACGCATAACATTTCCGGAGGGGACCAACGCCATGGAAAGATGCAGCGGTGGACTCGGTAGTGTGGACCCGCGGGAGGGAACATTCAAGCGCTTAGCGATCCAGGGCGAATGCCATGTCGTTGCCCAACGTCGGTTTGCTCAATGCCCAGCCGAGTCCTCGCCACCTATGGATTTCAGGTTCGCCCGATTTCAACATGTGATGGCAACCCCCTGCAAAACTTCCTGCAGTACTCTTCCCAGGACCCTTCCCAGACGCTTGCCCTGGTTGCAACAGACATATGCGCATGTACAGTCGGGATTGATTGGCGAGGACACGCGAGAGGACACAAGACCCTTCCGAGAGGACATAAGGTACGGGCCTCTAAAGACAGGGTACAAGGGTGCCCTTGATTTGGCAGGGTCGACCTACGAATCAAGGCCGACTGTACCTGCGCCTGTCTGTCTGTTCTATGCAGCCGTGCACGAGAGGGATACAGTATGCACGTTTCTGGTCGGTCTCGAGATGCCACAACCACGAACACTGCATGTAGGCAGATGCAGGGTCTCATCTTTGTTGGAAATATCAAGACATGACCGCATGACATCGCCAATCCAGACCTCCCAATGTCAGCGTAGCTTCTACCCGCTTCTGCGCAAGAGCCTATCCCTGCACTGCAGCTCAATGATAGCAGCCAGCGGGGAGATTCCCCGCAGTGAAAAAAGCGCACACATGCGCGATTGCAGCCGATCATTGTTCCAAGCCGGTGAAACGACAACTTGTCAACCGATTAGCTGAACGCAGGCATGCGGGTCGAATGCCCGCTGGGCCTCAGGACGCCAGCCGCAGCGAGGAAGCAACACGCGGCGAGACTCCGACGGGCTGCCCGGCGAGTGGCGACATTACAATCAAAAAGACGGCTGCCCCCCCTTCTGCGGCCAAGCGCACAACGAGGCAACCGACACAGAATGTGCCTGGGCGGCTCCACTGTCGCGCCGCGTCAAAGTGAGGGCATCGCCTTCCGAAAGACGCCTCTTCACCAAGAGTCCTACTGTACAGCATTTGCACTCGCTCCTCCTGTCTCGCCACTCGTCTCCTACATTCCCAGCTCCAGGTGCGACAATGCAGATTCCGCCCTACATCGCATGTTGCACTTCGCAGGATGTGCAACCGTACTAGGGTGGCGGTGCGGCATCTAAAGGGAGGGAACTCAAATTCGCTGGCGACACGAGCCGAGAACAAACACATGTTTGTCTGCCCGCCCCACGTTCTGGGGAGCATGCGAGGCCTCTGGAATTTCCGCTCCCCGCACCGCGTCTCAGATTCAAAACCAATGCCAATATCAATCAATATGAACAGACTATCAGCCAGCGCAGACTCCAAATATATCAGAGAACTGAAATGAAGTGGACTAGGTTCGGCTGAAGTAGACTGGCCTGTGGTAGATTCTGGTCCACTCGATTTTACTCTACTCTACCAGAATCTACTCTACCCTCAACCCTGCTCTACTCTACTCTACCTTACTCTGCTCGAACCTACTCTACCCTACCCCACCGATCCTAAACTATTCTCCTCTCCGCTACCTTACTCTAATCGACACCTACTATACGCTGCTCTAATCCTGCTCTAATCTACCCTACTCTGGGTTACTCTCCTCTTCTCTTCTCTACTCTACTCTCCTGTACTCTATGCTACCCTACTATACTATACCATATGCCCTACTCTTCTCTACTCTTCTAGTATCTACTCTACCCTGCTCTACCCGACCCATCCCTCCTGTGCTCTACTCTACCCTACCCTTCTCTATGTCACTTTACTCTGCTCTACTCTACTCTACTACTTCACTCTACTCTACTCCCACTCTACACTACTCTACTCCTACTCTGCGCGGTTCTATTCGAATCTCCTCAAATATACTCTACTCTGTTCTACTTGATTCTACTTTGATCGGCTCTACGCATCAACTCTGCTCTACTCTGCTCTGCTCTGCTTTACTTCTGATGTTGGGGAGTTGTTGACGATCGTCGGGACGCCGCTGGACTAGCAACAGAAAGCCATTATAATAGTAGGGGAAGCCATGCAGGTACAACTGAAGCCATGCGGATAGCAGAGGAAGCTTTGCGGATAGTTTTGACGAGTGTTGCACGATTCTGGGGACGACAGTGGGATAGCCACACGAAGCCATCGGGCCATGCGGATAGTTTTTATGGTTGTTGGGCGATTCTGTGGACGCCCTTGTAATAGCCACAGGAAGCCATTGGAATACCAGATGACGCCATGCGGATACAGAAGAAGCCATGATGATAGCAGAAGAAGCCATGCCGATAATGAGGGCGCCACGTGGATAGCAGATGATGCCGTGCGGATAGCAGGGGAAGCCATTCTGATAGTTTGACGATGCAAGGGCAAACAAGAGGCGGGACCAGTGGACCGATTCTCTGTGGATTGAGCTGGGACCCCTGCCAGCAAACCTGCTTGGAGAACGCTCGTTCAGAAGCCACTCGAATCCGGATCCCTGGACCACTCGAGGACACCTTCAAGAAGAGCCTGCTCCCTGAAGCCCATTGACAGCCTCTTGGAGGCACCTTCGGAGCAGTAGGAGACTCTGATGGGTCCTTGAAGCTCAATGGAAGTATCCCTGGAAGCTCCAGGCAACCATGGATAGCCTCACAAGGCTTCAACGGCTTAGCGCCATCCACTCTGGGGCGCGTCTCACGGCTCGACGGGATCTGCGAGGGTCCAGCCTCTGGGGGAGCCCCCTCTACGTCCCACGTATTCCTTGGGAGGCCCTTGGAGTGTATGTGTGTATGTGTGTGTATGTGCGTGCGTGCGTGCGTATGTGCGTGCGTATGTGTGTGTGTGTGTATATATGTGTGAGTGTGTACGTGTGTGGGTGGTGGTGGTGGTGGTGGTGGTGGTGTGAGTGTGGTGTGTGTGTGTGTGTGTGTGTGTGTGTGTGTGTGTGTGTGTGTGTGGGAGGCCTCTTGGTGGGACTGGTGTTGTGTGTGTGTGTGCGTGTATGGTGGTGGTGGTGGTGGGGGGGGGGGGATGACCCAGCGTCGCGTATGGTGTGTGTGTGTGTGCGTGCGTGCGTGCGTGCGTGCGTGAGTATGACGAGGAGCAAGGTAGCGCCCGCGATGCGCCATCACATCCATCCAGGGTCTCAGGGTCGAGACTTCGACCAGGTGTGTCCGCCACCCGCACATCTATTCTGGCGCCGTCTCTGGCCAGTGCGTGCTCAGCAAAAGGGCATCCAAGTGATGCACCACGCTCCGCAGCTCCTGGCCACTTAGGCGGTGCACTCGCGCCACAGACGCGCAGCGCCGACTATGACAAGCTGGGATGCAGTGCGGACAGTCGGCCCTTTGAGTCCGCTGCGACCGCTGGCTCGTTCCCTGTGCCCCACCCCGACTCTAGTGGTTCTGAATCGTGCCCCAGCGTTCGGCATGCATGTCGACTGGGACTGGGAGTTATGCAGCCTTCAAGCTCCCACTGAGCAGTGCGTGAGTCAAACTGATGGGGGCCACTTCTTCTGCAAATCTGAAATTCGACTTCCACTGTTCCAAATATGCAACGCGTAGTCCGGAGCGCTTTTTTGCCGCTGGGCCTTCCCACGCTGAAATTTTGTAGTGTGGCTACTCACTGGAGCGGTGTGTTTACTCGCACGAGCATGGAGCACTTACCCACAGGAGCAATCTGAGTTGTACTTGCCCAGTGCTCACTGGACAACGACGCGCGAAATAATGCGCAAGTGAAACAAGTGGAACCTCCGAGACGCGCATCTAAATCGGCATCATCTTCCCCACTCGGCCTCTCACGCTGTCTCTGTAGATGTATCTGGTCTCTTTTTTTTTTTCCTCTCTCTCTCTCTTTCTCTCTCTCACTCTCCCGCTCTCCCTCTGCCTCTCCGTCTCCATCTCTCACTTTCTCTCTCTCTCTCTCTTCCCCTCTCTCTCTCTCTTTCGCTCGACGGGTGTGCGCGAAACAAACCGCGTCCTTTGGTCTTCTGGCCTCAGTCTCTACAACATCATCTGCTGCCCCTGCCTCCCCTCCACTCTCCCCTTTCTTTCTTCTTTTCTCTCTCTCTCTCTCTCCCATTCTCTCTCTCTCTCTTTCCCTCTCTCTCTCTCTTTCTCTCGCCCGCTCTGTTTCCCGCATTCTAAGTCCCTCTGTTCCTCTTTTTCGCTTCCACGTTGCGCTAGCGAGACTTTTGCCGATAACGCAGAAATTGAAGTTAGGGATGCCCGACCTCTGTGCACATATCGTGCCACATCTCGCGTCGCATGCGTTTCGCACTTAGTCATTGCCCCTGGTGCTGTCCTACCCCGTCTCCCCTCGGGGATCTTCTGACCCAGGTCAATCCAGACCTGGGTCAGCAGGAAACCAAAAGCTGCAATGCAAGAAAAAAACTGCAAAGCAAGTCTTCGCAAACCCGGGTCAGCCAATATGCGCGGTCGCCTCGCGGCCACGAGCGGCTCGCTAACCCAGGTCAGCCAGAGGCCGTCTTCGCAAGATCCTGCAGGATCCGGTGCCCTGGCTGACCCCCGTTTGCATTGATCCCCGTCTCTTGAGCCCCGATCCCCTACCAAGCCCCCCGGCGCAAAAATAGCATTGGCGATTGCCCTCGCCCAGGCAAAGCTTCCGGCACAAGCGCTCGCAACTCATTGCCGTGGGGAGCGCTACCAGGCCAGACGCGCGTGCACTCCAATCGCCAATCGCGCCTTCGACCCTGGCCGAACAGAAAAAACATCGCTGAAACGTCGCGCGAACGCCTGCTTCCGCATGGGAGCCACTGGATCAGTGCCCCACGGCGCGTGTCCTGCGCGATTCTGCCGTCGTGCCTGGCGCCCCCTGGTCGGCATCCATTGCCACGTCCATCACCGAAACAACTAGGCCAGCCATCGTTGAGCTCTGACGCAGGTGTCTGCGCCTTGGCCCTTCGGGGCCAGGTTCCTTTTAACCAGGGAGAGGGGCGGTCCGTGGTCCCTTCGCCGACGGTTGGTGCCACTCCCCCTAATTACCAGGCCGGCCTTGGGAGGATCGATTTTGAGCACAAGCGTCTTGCAGAAGCTGTGGGGCACCTCTGGGGGGCCTGAACAGGGCGCCTAGGCCATCCGAATCGACCTCTAAGCTGTTCAAGGGACCCCCTGGAAGGCCACAAGACTGCCGACGGATTGACAATACCCCAAATTGCGACTAGCTTGACTTCAGCTTGCTTGTATAATTCATGTCGGCTTGTCTCTGCCTTCCTATAGCATGCATTAGGCCTGCGTCAGCTTTAAGTTGGCCTGCCTCTAATTTGCCTGTAACTTCCTGTTCCTCGCTCGTGGCTTGGCTTGAATCTGCAGCCTGCAGTTACGTTGCCTTGAGCTCGCCTCTGGCTGGTCTTGTTTGTCCCTCCATTGCCATTCAAACGCGTCTAGGTTTTCCACGTGCTGGAATTTCGCTTGCCAGGGCGCCCAGTATGATGATTAGGCTGTCGTCCCTGAGTAAGAAAGGACTCTCATTCATACCAATCACAACCTGACAACAACATAGGCGAACGGACATGTCCACACAGACTATCAAGGAACATATCAGTCAGCGTTGACTCCAAATAGATAGGAGGACGGGAGGAGGACGAGAGGAGGATGGGAGGAGGACGAAAGGAGGAGAGCAGGACGGGAGGAGAGCAGGAGGAGCAAAATTAAGCAAGCGCAAGCAAGCAAGCGGACGCAAGCACGCGCAAGCGGGCAATAACAAGTAAGCACGAGCCAACGATCAAGTGCAAGCAAGCAAGGGCAAGCAAGAGCAAGCAAGCGAGAGCAAGCCAGCGAGAGCAAGCACGCAAGAGCAAGCAAGCAAGTGCCATTGGAAAGAGGGGGGGGGCATTGGAAAAAGGAGGGGGGCATTGGAAAAAGGGGAGGGGGTGCTAAAGACCACTTGCCTATGATGAGCCGGGACTCCCATATGGTAAGCCTATTTAGAGAACATGGCTAGTTTGCAAGCAAACACAACGACATGCAAACCCAAGGAACCTCCAGGCCCTATTCTGAAAGTCCACGCGCTGCCGATCTCACGTCGTGCACGGCGATACCATCATGAGTCCCAGGCTGCAAGCAAGCTGAAAGCAAGGCGCAAGCAACGGACGCCCGAGCAATCATCAATCCACACAACCGCACCAGGAGCCGAAGGACTGGCGAGAGCTAGAAAGCATGCAGGAGAAGGGTATTATGAATGCAAGCAGTAGTACTTCACACTCAAAGTAAGAGCCAACCAACGTGACTGAAAACAGCGCTAAAGGCAACGCCCAAACAATCGAACGGCATAACATCCTGAGGCGCGCTCAACCCACTCAGGATTCAGGCTGAAGGCCAACAACTCACAGGGGAGCATTTATCTACAGGTAACCATCGAGCAATGAACTTATAGACAAGCGATATGCAATACGATGGCTAGCGAGAAACACACGCCAATCAATACCAATAGCTAGCTCGCCTAGCTGCCAGCTTCGCTTGCTTTGGGTGTGGTTTACACTTGCCTGCAGCTTTCTTATCGCTTGCCTCAAGCCCGAACCTTTGGACAACATTATCAAGCGCGCCGCTCATTCGGCAGTGCAGGGGCTTCCACGACCACCAGTAGGAACCATTACCGAAGAAAGAGGGAGTAGGGGATCGGTCAGCGGAGCGGTACGTGGAAACATGTTGACGAAACGGCGACTATGTGCAGCTCGAGTCCGCGAAAGAGTTGCATCCACCACCTCGCCACCTGTAATTCACCGCTGCCTTGACTGGCCATCCTTCTGGATCTCCAATCTGTTTAGAGGCCTCCTAGATGGGGTCGGAGTAGATGGGGTCGGAGGATCGCGCCACATCGCCGATACATCGGCGATGCATCGGCGATGCATCGTCGACGTCGGCGATGCATCGGCGACATCGACGTGCAGCACATCGGGCTGCACATCGGGCCGCATCGGCGATGCATCGGCGATGCGGCGCGATCCTCCGACGCCATCTACTCCGACCCCATCCAGGAGGCCTAGACTGTTGTGGCTGGCAGATGAATTTCCTTCTAACCCTGGCTGCGCTGCACTGCTCTGCATTGCAGAGCGCTCCCGCACAGGCCTACACGGCCGCCTGGTGTGCAGAGCGCTCCCGCACAGGCCTACACGGCCGCCTGGTGTGCGTCTTCGGCAACTCAATCAGCCGACCCCTCCAGAGGTCATCAATCGGGGATGGACAGAACCCCCTTTAGCAAAACGTGGTTTAGTGAAGACGACCTCGGGCTCAAACCTGGTGGGGCGCCAGCCTGGAAACTGACGGCCGCGGCGCCCCCTCGAGAACCGAAAGCGGACAATTCACTGGTCGACGTGTCAGGGTGGGGGTTGTGTCCACCCCCGAAGCAAGCGTGTGCGACTCTTCCCCCATCTCTGCAGCTTCCCTCCGCCGGGCTCCGCAGTGCAACTCGGGGGGTCTGCCCTGCAGGGCGCCCGGATGAGGTCCCAACGGCCTGAAGGATAGTCAAAAAGGCCAGCCAGGCGTCGCACGTGCACTTTTTGTTAGTGTCCAGCGAAGCCCAGTGGCACAGGAGGACACAGAGAAGGAGGAGGAAGGAGAAGGGGGAGGAGGACCGGGGAAAAACCGCAACCTCCGAAGCGGGCGAGAATGAATTCCTACTAGTCAGTCCGGCGGGCCAGAGCGCTCCTGCAGCCGGCGGCGAACCGTCGCACGCGCACACAAAAAGGCTCCAATAGGCGGCCAGAAGCTCACGAGAGGCCCGACGAGAGGCTCCGAGGCTGCCGCACGACGGCTCGGTGTGGCCACAGAGCCCCTCAAGGCTACCCCTCAAGAAATCGACCTCCTCAAAGACATGTCTTGTGTGTGTGAATGTGTGTGTGTGTGTGATTTTCGCTTTCTCGCTATTTCGCTTCCGATGGGCGCCCGAGGCCCAGTACAGCTCCAAGTGGAGCCCAGGCAGGCTCCAAGAAGGCTCGCATCATTCCCAAGAGCGCCCCCAGAGTATCCCAAGAGGGCTCCAAGGGGGGCCTAGGAGCGTCTACGACAGGGGATCACTGGTACATTTACCGTGTCTGGACGTGCATACCGCGAAGCGAGGAAATCCAAGCGAGGAAATCAAAACAGCTCGTCGGTCAAAGAAGGTGATCCAAATTGACCAAACGAGAAGAAACCATTGCGCTGAGCTGGATCAGAATCTCAGCCGTTGAAACGGCTCCAGCGAACTTAACTACCAACACCGACCGCTATTTGCATGGTGGCTCTGACATTCCGCCGGTCAGAACAAGAACACCGCTGACGCTAATGCTGTTGAGGAGCATCTGGGACTCACAGCACTCGGATTATTTCACGCGGGTCTCCCACATATGTGTATCTCTTTCTAGCGCTTCCATCTCTTAGCCTATGGGTATGAGCGAGTCTGAATATGAGCGAGCCTGGTCGACGACGTGCGCGAGAACGGGCCAGAGATAGTTCCCCTGGCGGGTTCCCCGTGGGAGGCCCAAACTCCATGCCCGCTGCATCGCGATGCTCATAGGGCTTTGCACACGTACGCGTTTACCCCGCGAGGACGGCACTTACAATAGACAGGTTCCGACAATCTGTGCGCGAACGGGCCCGTCATATACCTCCTGTCGGGTCCCACTTGGGCAGCGTAAGTGCCGTACGCTAAAGCGGCAATTCTACCCGAGAAGTAGCGACTCATCTGGTCGCGACATGGCCCGTAATATACCGACCTGTAGGGTCACCCTTGGGAGGTCTTAGTGCCATCTCTGCTGCATCGTACGTGAGGACATGAATATGACTTGGCCCGAACATAGTGAGTCCCAGTGCGAGTACAATTCACCCGTATACAAGGACGCGCGATAAGGATGCAAGGGCCTTGGAAGGCCACGTCGTCACTCTGCGAGCGGGGCGCGGCCAGCGAAAGCGGTCAAGGATGGGTCAGAGAGGCGGGATGCAAAGGTACACTTGGAAAATTGCCCATCCTTACTATGCGGGTTGAATGCAAATTGGAGTATGAGGAGTCTGAGCGTGGGTGCATCTCAGCATGGGCGAAGCTAAGTGTTGGTGGTCTGAGAACGAATAGATCTGAGTCTGGATGAATCAGACAATGAATGAGTCTGGGTGTAAGTGGGTCTGAGTGCCAGTGGCTTAAAACATGGACCTGACTGTGCATGACCTTCTGTGTAAATCGACGCGCGAGTGAGTCTGAGCATGGAAGGGAGGAAGGTGAATGAGAACGGGGCAGGAGTGGGTGAGCCAGTGCGTGAGGACGCGGGTGCATCATGATAACAACACTGACCGCAACTTATGAATTTGGGAAGGCATGGGGGACGTATGGTATACTCAACTGTTCGAGCATACGTCGGTACTGCTTGATCCAACGGCTTTGGACTGCGCCTTGTGCCGCTGCTAGATGTGTCTCCTCCCTGCTCACCTGCCTCCTCCTCTCATTTCTATAGTTTACACCACGGATAACCACTTCCAGCAATACAAAAAGATGCCAACGTGCGACGGGTGACGAATTGACACATCAAGAACTGCATTACAAGTGCAAGTGGGGAAGAGCAGGAGGCAGGAGGACAAAGGAGAACGGGAGGAAGCATTGCAGGGCTCGCCGCCGTATTATGGCAGCGCGCCATTCGGCATCTACCTCCAAAGTCTCTCGGTGTCGTGCGATACAGCGGTGAACCATCAACTGCTGGTAAGGAACGTTCCCTACCGCTTGGCAACTCGGAGGATGAAGAAGACACTGGCACGAAATGCTATTCGGAGCGCGAAGCTCCCGCGCATCTCCGATGATGTCGGCTTGCAGTGGAACTCGGCGTGGCCTTTCCTCTTTAGACCCCTCGCGGGGAGTAACGAAGGGGGGCCCCTCCTCCTCCTCCTCCTCCTCCTCCTCCTCCTCCTCCTCCTCATCTTCCCCTCCGCCATCTTGGAATCGCTTGGAAGCCGATAGGGTCGGCCTCATGCCTCGTCGGGCAATATTGAGCCATCTTGGAGCCCTGTCGATGCCCTCTTAGGCCGTCTTGGACACTTGTGTGAGCCCAAGAAACCGAACATGCAAAAGCAATGACCCAACGCCAGTTCGACATCAATGAATTCGTTTCCCTCTCAACCGCGCCCTATTTTCTGAAATCCAGTCGGCAACAGCTTTGCGACACCTAGCTAAACGATGGATCCGCGCTTCGAATACCACGGTCCTTCGCAACAGGAACCAATGGATACGGCTTCCACTACCCGGGCTGCCTAAAGACTGCCCAAATACCCTCCCAGATAGCCTCAAGTCCCTCCACAACAGCCCTCGACCCCCAAAGGGACGCCCAGATGGCCCCAATACCGACCCTCGTCGAATCGTTACCCCCGAGCACTGACTGCCTGCGAAATGTGTGTGCTCATTTCCTCCCTGCGGGTTTCGGCCATGACAGCCTTCGGTGGGCTTGCTACTGCAGGAAGATGAACAATGCATGCTAAGAATGGCGATGGTTGACCTTGTAAATATGACGGAATCCGCAACGCATCCGCGACTCCACTCTCCTGGGCGCTTCAATTCGGCACACACCTCCTCTCGCAATTCGTGCCCCATGGACCTCCAGAAGTGCCCCAATAGCCCCTCACGACGGCCCAAGGGAGCTCCAGATGGGCACACCCCTCACATATTTCGAACGAAATGGAGACCCATAAGCCCTCAGCTATCTCTCGAGACAGCTGAAGGGCGCTTCACTTCGGCATAATTACCCCTCACGTACTTCGAGCCTCATGGAGCCCCAAAGCCCTGAGCTGGCCCCTCAAGACGTCTCACGGCACACCCCTCACGGACTTCGTGCCCCATCGACCCTCAGAGGCTCCCAGCTGGCCTCCTACAAGCCTCAAGAGAAGCCCAACAGCGTCCAAGAAGGCCACCAGACTCCAAGATGGCCCCGCGGAGAGCCCTCCAGACACAAAGCAGCCGTTCGTCATGACGATGATCATGATGATGGTGATCCTGGGCGCTCGGCACAAGACTGACTTCAGAGATCTCGATGTTCGTGGCTATACAACTTGCCAGCAGGCGCTCGGCACAAGACTGACTCGAGAGCTCGAGGCTCGTGGCTCGTTCGCAACTTGGGCAAGCTGAACTGGTGATAATCCCACAGCCCTGTCACGCGCTCGTGATTGCGGAAGCTGATGCGGTGAGACCACCATGGTAATGCTCAGCGTGTTTGATGCTGTTGGTAGTCAACATGATATGATAGCAACTTCGATTCGCAACTTCCCCTGTGGATAATAAAGTTCGGCCTCCGCACCCCTCTCCACAATTAAATGCTGTTGAACGGGGATCAAACAAAATAGAGGGGGGTAAAGTGGAGGTATGTTTTATTATCGCCCGTGGTCGGTTACTTGAATCGAATGGAACCCCTTTCCCGATCCCCGCTGGGGTGGGGTCCCGGGGGAAGTCCCGGGGGGGGGGTCACGGCCAGGGGGGGGGTCCAGGGGAAATCCTGGGTCAGAATGCCACCCCCCGAGGGGGACAAAGGGGTGTTGCCCATGTCCGCACTTCAAAACCCCCTTCCCCCGCCTCGGCCCTGGCTCCGGCCTCGGCCCCGGCTCCGGCCCCAGCCCCATTCCCAGCCCCGGGGTCCCGGCCCCGGCCCCGGTCCAGCCCCCGGCCCCCGGCCTGCTGGCCCTGGCGCTGGCCCTGGCCCCAGCCCCGGCCCGACGCCGCGCCGCCGCCCCGGCCCCGACCTCGGCCCCAGCCTCGAACCCGGCCCCGGCCCCGGCCCCGGGTTCGAACCCGGCCCTGGCCCCAGCGCCGGCCTCGACCCTGGCCTCGAACCTGCATGGCCCCTCGGCCTCGACCCTGGCCTGGGCCCGGCCCGGGCCCCGGCCCAGGCCCCAACAGGACCCAAGAGGCCCCCAAAAGAGCCTCAAGAAGGGCTCCCCAAGAGAGGCCCAAGCTAACGGCAGCGCCACGGGGCCGAAAGATAACTCAAGAGCGCCCGAGAGGGCCCACGAAGGCTTCAAGACGGCACCGAGGCAAGCATACGTGTTCGGCCACATGCATGTCGATGTCATATCCCCGAACACTCCCTGATCACAACATTCGCGTGCTCGTTCCCCCCCGCGGCCCGCCGTGACTTCCGCTATGTAGGCTCAATGCTGCGGGCCTGATAGGGGGCTCAGATGTGTTGAGCGATGCCTGGCTTGCGTGCTATGTTGCCAACTGTTGCTAGCAGTGGCCCTGCGCATTCTGTCGGCTGGCGCAGGGTATGCCAAAAGGCTTCGGCGCATACATTCCCCTAGGACGCGTGAACATACAGTGGACCCACGCTTCCAGGGCTACAGTCCATGGTAAAACTCTATGGACCGACCAGCACGATCCCTCGTACAACAACTATTGATCTGGCTTGTAATGGCGCGATCACTTGTGGCGACCTCCACAAAGGGCTCTGATACGATTCCAGACAGCGCGGTGCAAATTCATCCGAGGTTGGGGGTATGAATTAGATGTGAGACAAAGAGTCAACCACCAGAAAATCGGTTTCGATTAGATGCGGTTCACGCATGTGGGCGAGGAGGCAAAGCTGCGCGAATGCGAGGAGACCGGTCCTTCCGCACCTAGGGGGGTGTCACGTCTGATTCCTTCGTCTCGGGGCTGGCGCGTGCATCTCAATGTTACTCCAGAATGTTCTGTGGGATGTCCCGTGCTGTTCTCGCGATTCACCCATCTGTCCCGTGCTGTGCTCGCGATTCGCCCATGATTGCCCCGTGAGTTGTCCCGCTGCTGTTCCATGCGTTTCCTGTGGTTCTCTGGCAGTTAGAGCCGCCACCGCGCCCCGACGCACGAAGTGGAGTGTCCTCGCCCTCGGAGTCCTCTGCACTGGGCACTGTCATGGCGGAAGCTCTTCGAGGGGCCCACAGCTCCGAGTACAGGGGCGCTCCTAAGGTCTGGCGTGCATTCTCGCGCGACGTTTTCGGACACGCGAGGGCCCCCGAACGGGCCAAGGGGGCCCCAGTCGGCACCCGAGACTGTCCAGGGGGGCCCCGCTACGGCCCACGAGATCTCTAAGACGCTCAATATTGCTTCAAAACTGCCCAAAAGAGGCCCCCCAGAGGGCCCCCAGAGGGCTCTAAGATGCCCCCCAAGAGGACCGCCAAAGGCAAGCATCATGTATTCTCCCTAACTCTGCAATGACTTCAACGTTCCCGCCTTTTCGGGCTTTCGACGCTCCAAGACGGAGCCATAGGCCTCCAAGATCACCCCAAAAGGGGAACCCGAACCAAAATTTCTAACATTACCCGCGAGACCACCAGCAGGCCCCCCAAAGGCCCCCAAGAAACCCCAGGAGGCCCCAAAGATTACCAAATCAGGCCCCGAAGGGCTCTCGAGAGGCCCCCGAGAGGCCCTCAAACAGTTCAAAATCGCCTCCATGAGGCTCCCGAAATGCCTCCCAAGAGATCCCCACGAGCGTCCAAGGGGCCTCTGACCTACAACCCTGGCACGGTGGCGGAATGGGCCGAAAGCCACTGGATCCGCCGCCCCCTGTTGATTCATCACAAGGGCGCCTGGCGTGCAAGACCCTCTCGGCTTTGGTTTTGGTTCTTTTTCCAAAAGAACTCCTCCTGGGCCTTCGGCGCGTCCCGCCGGGGTCCCGGGAGGCTCTTCCGGAGGTGGTTGCCGTGGGTTTTCCTGCCCCAGACAGCTCCAAGATGGCCCAAAATGGCTTCCAAGATGCTTCCAAGACGGCCAAGATGGCATCCAAAACAACTCAGATAGCTCCAAGATGCCTCCAAGACGGCCCAAGATGTACCCTAGACGGCCTAAGATAGTCTGAAGATGGCCCAAGACGGCCCAAGAGGCCCCCAAGAGGCCTCCAAGACGGCCCAAGAGGCCTCCAAGAGGTCCTCCAGGAAGGCCCGAAGAGGCAAAATCATTTATATTCCTTAAGATTTTGAAGATTTTGGCATTTGCGCCTTTTCGGCTTTCCGACGGCCCCAGACGGTCCAAGAGACCCCCAAGATCGCCCCAGACGGCCCCAGACGGCCCCAGAGACCCCCGACGGCCCAAGAGGCCTCCAAGATGGCCCCGTGAAGGCCCAAGAGGCCTCCAAGACGGCCCCAAGAGGGCCCCAAGACGGCCCAAGAGGCCTCCAAGACGCCCAGGATGGCCTCCAAGACGGCCAAGATGGCCTCCAAGATGCCTCCAAGACGGCCAAGATTGCCCCCAAGTCGACCCAGAACGGCCCACAAGACGGCTCCCGACGGCGTCAGACGTGCCAGGAACCCACCAAGATGGCCGAAGTTGGCTCGAAGCTGGCCCAAGACGGCCCAAGAGGCCCCTAAGAGAGCGTCCAGGAAGGCCAGAAGAGGCCAAGCACATTGATTTTCCTAAGGTTTTTGACGGATTTTGACATTTGCTTCTTTTCGGCCATCCGACGGCCCGATACGGCGCAAGAGCCCCCAAAGATCGCCCAAAGATCGCCCAAGAGGCCTCCAAGATGGTCACAGAACGGCCCAAGGGGGCCGCCAAGACGGCCCCAAGAGGCCCCCAAGACGGCACAGGATGCCTCTAAGACGCCCAAAATGGCCTCCAAGACGGCCCTGGAGCATTCCAAGAGGGCCCCAAATCTGCCCATAGAGGCCCCCCAACTGGCTTCCGACGGCGTCAGACGGACCAGGAGCCCACCACGACGGCTGAACATGGCCCTAAGATGGCCCAGGACGGCCCAAGAGGCCCCGAAGAGGGCCTCCAGGAAGGCCCGAAAAGGCCAAAATCATTGATTTCCCTTCGGTTTTTGAAGGATTGTGGCATCTGTGTTTCTCTGCCTTCCGACGGCCCGAGGCGGCCCAAGTGCCCCCAAAGATC